AAGACAATGCGAGAAAAGTTAATAGGCAAAATGATCTGGAATTAAATATAGGGGAGAAAATGAAAAAAATGGAAGAAATGGATAGAGATACTCTTAGGGCTGTTTGTTTCAGCCTCTTAATGGTTCAGATATCTGAATGGTTCAGCACTTAATGATTCAGACTGTTTGTTTCAGCCTCTTAATGGTTCAGATGTCTGAATGGTTAAGAGATTTGCCTCTGAATAGTTAAGTATTATACAGAGTCTGAATGGTTAAGACCTCTTATCTGAATTGATCCGACATTTGCCTCTGAATAGTTAAGCAATATACTAGCTCTTAATGGTTTAGACCTCTTACTGGTTCAGCACTTAATGGTTCAGACCTCTTACTGGTTCAGCACTTACCTATTCAGAAGTTGCCAAACAGCCCATTAAAAAGCCAAAGTACAATTGCCAACTTAATGGCAAAATGACGTGGAATTAAATATAAGGGAGTGAATTGTCAAAAAAGTGCCAAATAAACAATCCAGATTTCAAAATTTCTAAGTGGTTGAGTCTCAAATATAGTTAAGTATAAGGATTAATGATTTTTCATTTTTCAAGTTTTTGTTATTCCAAAAGTATAATATTTATTTTAACATTTTTTATTTTTCAACATTTTCCATTTTCAAACTTTTTGCAACTCTTTTAGTTAAATCAAGATACTTCTAGTTTTTTAGGGCATGTTTGGAAATAGCGTTAGAGATTAGCGTTAGCGTTTTGGATAAAATTTTGACGGTGCAGATTACTTTGAAAACGCAAACGCTGCCCGTAGATAGCCTTTTCAAAACGCTAACGCTATTCTCAAACATGCCCCAAAAAACTAGAAGTATCTTGATTTAACTAAAAGAGTTGCAAAAAGTTTGAAAATGGAATTAGCGTTAGAGATTAGCGTTAGCGTTTTGGATAAAATTTTGACGGTGTAGATTACTTTGAAAACGCAAACGCTAAACGCTGCCCGTAAATAGCCTTTTCAAAACGCTAACGCTAATCGCTAACGCTATTCCCAAACAGGCCCTTAGTTTCTCCTACTTTTTTTAGTTCTTTATAGAAAAATTTTCTAGGTTTTTCAATTATTGATAAGTTTTTACAATTTTTTTAGTTTTTTTAGTTTCTTCTAACTATAACTCTTTTTTATAATCATGAAGAATATACTCTAAATGACAATAAAAAACGTTTTCAAACACCTCTTTAATGATAATAACAACAAAGCTTATAATAATTTTAAAGTAGAGTTGTGTTATTGTAATCCTAATTAAGGTTCACTTATGAAATAGGGAATGAGACTAAACGAGAAGTAAAATATGGCGAAAATCCATAAACATGAACTTCATGTTTTATCCTAAAATAGAAGTCAATATGTCAATATATAATATCAAAAAAATATAGTTGGACAATGTCATAATATCACAGTGTAAATTTATATTTTGGGGATAAAAATATGAAACTCCTATTTTGAAGACAAGCATTATCTTTTGCTCCTATTTGGGTAATTTCATCATGAAGTATAGATTTTCTCACATATTCGATATGCACTCAAAATTAGATTTCTTTTTTTGGCAAGACCAATATATATAATCATTTTATGTACTCCCTTTGTTCCAATTTAAACTGCATATTCCGGTTTACAATATTCGAATTAAGTTATTTTCAATACAATTTATTAGAAAATTGGAAAGGAATTAAAAAAATGCATATTAAAAAACCACATCAAAAGCTCTACGAAACAAAGATTACATGATCATATTATTTTATCAAATGAGTAATGAAAACAGGAAAAGAAAATGAATAAAGTTTAACCATGTAAATAGTAAACAACTAATTAATTTGGGACGAAGAGAGTATTAACATTCACATTTTAAAACAAGAAATGCTTGGATTACAAACAATGTGAGCACAAATACCACAAACTTATCATTTGTAAATTAAATTCCAACATTAAAATAGTCTGAATATAATTAACTTAAATAGTAAAAATATAATACAAAATAATAAGTTTGTAATGTTTGTGATAATTTTATTTGTGACTATAGCATTGCTCATAAATGTTAATTACTATACTCACTCATATGAGTATTAAACACATAAATTAGCATCAAGATCTAACCATTTTAACCACACAACTTTAATCAATTTTTTGGAAAATCATATGCAAAACACGCAAGTGGAAACCTAAACTAAATAAAAAGTGAAATTTGCTCAAAATAGCACTATTCATGTGTTTCCTTTTCATCATTATTTTACTTTGGTATATAAACTTTAATTTCTATCAGAAAAGTACACAAACTTTCAACATTTTTTCACCGGTGGTCCAATATGCAGAAAAGTACATGAACTTTCAACATTCGTATACCATGGAAGAAATTTACTCTTATAGTGCTATATAGACAAATTTTCCATACAAAAACAAGTTCCATATTCAAATACAAACCTGAGTATATCTCCTTTCACGACTGTAATTTTTTACTTTCTCTTGTCTTTAAAACATTTCCTATATGATAAAAAGTGCACCTAACGTGTAATTTGAGTGATATTTTCTAATTTTTACACTTACATTATTATAGAGTAAGATATGATTATAAGATATATGAATCATAATAAGAAAATAATACCAAAATTACATATTTTTAAGGCATGTTTTTATAAAACTAGAAATTTTTTTCCGAAATAGAGAAAGTACTAGATTTTATCAAACATATTATTGATATTTATATTTATAAACATACTCTGTATTTCATAAAAATATTACTCCATTGTGTTTTCAAATGAATCCATTGAAACAAAATTTTACAGAGTATCATATAACCAAATAGTTTTTCGTATATTATGATTACACTTAACAGACTTTAATCAATGAATGTTAAATAAGAAGAAAATTTTAGAGAAAATTACTAACTAATTTATACTCCATCTATCCCAAAAAGTCTTTCATGTTTCATTTTTTGCGCATCCCATAAAACACTTCTACCGACATTTAAAATGCCCAAAATTTACAACATTTCTTGTTTATTGTGGGTAGAAGTTATTTTGAAAGTTTTTTGGCATTCAAGGCGGGATATAAGTATTTTATGGGATGCGCAAAAAATGAAACAAGAAAAACTTTTTGGGACGGAGAGAGTATATAATCACTATAAATTTCGATTAGGTCGTTGAAATGGATTTTGGTCATGCTTAAATTTTACACCAAACTTGGGCGTTCATACTTCATATAAATAGATTTAGATCACTTCAGATTTTGATTTGACCACCCCAATTGATTCGTAACGGTTGTTTTCCGATTAGGTTGTTTGTACTATCCCACTCTCTTTGTCCACTTTTGACTTTTAGAACTGTTCATCTAAGCACTTTGACTCATCAAATTCTCTCAATGTGTAAGCCTAAATATAGTCATGTGTGATCTTGTTTGATTTGTCTTAACATATAGATTATTAATATATAATTTCTATAATTTTTTAATATACAAATTACAAGATAAAATAGATTAAAGAAGTGCATTGGATGGTGTGTAAAAATGAAAGTGGACAAAAATAGTGGGACGGAGGGAGTATATAGAAGTGACAACATCAAATCGGATCTCTGTAAAAATAACATTATTCAAATCGAATTGACTTTTTTTGCACGTGCCTTTTAAAATAATACTCTCTCCGTTCTAAAATTAACTTTTTATTTTGACATTTACAGTTAAACTTTGACTGTTTATTACGGAAAAAATACATGGAATTTTCATATAAATTAATTAGCAATAGATTCATTTTGAAACATAGTTTTGAAATATGTAATTTTTATAAAATATATTTATATAAAAATTGAGATATTGATGGTCAAAGTGTCACATTACAGACCGTGAAAAGTCAAATGAGAAGTTAATTTTAGAACGGAGGGAGTATCAATTCTAGATGCATGCTAGGAATACACCAAAATGAAATACCTCATTTGAACACAAGGCAAATACAAACAAACACATATTACGGACACTAACTGTTTGTGTTTGTCTGTGTTTACCTAGAGTACAAATGGAGTACTCTATTTTGGTGTACCTTTAAGTTTATTCTAGTTCTAGTTATACTAAAAATACTTACCCTCTATACTTGCTTTTTTTGTTCCTATGTAATCAATATTATAAGTACTTTTTAAGCACAAACATAAGACACAAACTCTAGATGGGAAGAAACTTAGGATGACTTCTTCTCGTCAGTACGTCAACATGTTTTCACATAATTTTACTATTCAATTTTAATAAAAATTTAGGTTTTTTTACTAAAGTTCCTAAAACTATAACCATTAATAATTATAATTATGTGCAGAGTATAAATTAAAAATATAAAAATTATACTCTCTGCTCTAATTTAAATTTCCCGTTATGGCTTACACTGTTTGACTTAAAGTATTTTTTTATTTTTTTTAAATTGGTGTTGAGTTAAAAAGTAAAATTTATATATTTACAAAGTATATAAAAAAACTCTACAAAATAAGAGGTAAAGTGAATATATATTATTTTATCAAACGGGCAACGAAAATAGGTAAAAAATTTTTGACTAAATGTAAATACCAATTAGTAAACATGCAACATAAATTAGAACAGAGAAAGTACAATTAAGAACTACATTTTAAAACAAATCTAATGATATTAAGTTTACCGTATAACTCAATATAAATTTTATGTTATCTATGGCTAAAATTTAGACAGTTTGACAAAATATTCAAACTGGACAAACTACTTCAGAACGAAGGAAGTATACTTTTTTGAAAATTGGTGTTGAATTAAAAGGTAAAATTTATATGTTTACAAAGTATATAAAAAACTCTACAAAATAAGAATAAAATGAATATATTACTTTATCAAACGAGTAACGAAAATAAGTAAAAAAAAGTTTTTAAAACTTGGCCGTATGTAAATACCAAATAGTAAACATGCAACATAAATTAGAACGGAGAGTACAATCTAGAACTACATTTTAAAACAAATCTAATGATATTAAGTTTACAATATAACTCAATATATTTTTTTATGTTATCTATGGCCAAAATTTAGACAGTTTGACAAGAAAATTCAAACTGGAGAAACTACTTCGGAACGAACGAAGTATACTTTTTTGGTGATTTAGAAAAAAAAAGATCAAAGATACTGGTACAAAATGAAAATATTATGTCAAATAATAATAAGGGACAATAGAAAAACCATCAAAATATTATGGCATTCTTGATTCACCATTGCCTTCAACAACAGCTGATTCCATGTCCTTTGCATCCTCCTCCTCTTCCTCCTCCTCCCTTTCTTGTGTTACTTTCTGCATGTCTTTGTTCTTTCCCCACAGCAGAAAGTAGAGCCCAGTCATTACAATGACTGACCCTATTATACTGTCATCATCAAGGGGTAATAATGAGATTGGTTAATTCATCATTTTCTAAACATGTCCAAGAAAAGAACTCAGCCGAAAGCTCAAGTTTATGGTTTTAGACCCAAGAAAGGCTTTTTATATTCTAACGAAACAGATAAAGATCACCTCCCGAGATGGAGTTGCTCGTGGAGAACGGGGATGTCTACCATGGCAGCCATCACCTGCACCAGAGGGCTGAACGCCGCCGTGAAAACCGGGCCCCGCTTCTTCACACACCATGACATTCCCACGAAACACAAACCCGAACTCACCAACCCCTGCAATCAAAATCCATTCATTCATATTTAGCCGACGCGACGTAACTCCAACAGGGGAAAAGATCTCACAGAGAGAACAAAAAAAAAAGAAGAAGAAGCAGGTGGACCCTACAGTGTATGTCACATTGACCATGTCAATCTTTTTCTTTGGGATCCAAATGGAAAGGCTTCTGTCAGTGCACAAAGTAAGGACAGCAGACTGAATGGCACTAAAGAAGTTCATGATGACAGTGCTGGAGTACTGGCAAGGGTAACTTTTGGAAATGTTGGATTGAACAAGGAACCAAGAAGACCAAAATATTGTCCCGGCGAACATTGCCAGCGAACCGAATACCCATCTTTCTCCTCGGGGCCTAACGGTTTTCCCAGCAGAACGACTTAAGGTGGGTTCAGAGGGATGGAATTTAACCACAGGCATGCCTTTGTAGAATGTCAGTAGAAGGGCACCTCCAAGGCATGTCACTATCCCAATCACTTTTGCCCTTCCACTCCTGCTTCTGATGCTTATTTTCTCCAACCTGTGACATGACCAATGATTCAAAAAGGTGTTTCTTTAAGGTAATCTGTTCTTACATGGGAACTGCAGGTGGGTATTTGAAATGGGATTTGCGTACCCGAATGGCAATGCCATTAGAAATGTGATGACAGGGACAATGTTCAGAAAGGCACAAGCATAAGTTGCAGATGTGTACTCTACACCAACAAGGAACAAGTATTGAGTAACCGATGCCCTGAAAAAAAATTCCAAACACCGCATTAGCCGAGTACTATAAGCAGGTTTTTCTATGCCATGGAAGTGATGCACAACCGCTTACCCAACAATCGCGGACAAGAAAAGGTTGCAGAGAATGCGCAGAGTGAGTTTTGGTCTGGTGTTCCTGCAAGAAATTTCACAAGAAAAACGTTCACAAAAAGCAAGGCAAAAATGAATCAAAGCAAGCATAGTTACTTGCGTACCGTTCGACAAAGAAGGCAATTGGGGTTAAAAATATAGTCGAAATTGTCTGCCGATAAGTGATGAAAACTAAATGGTTCATCCCATCAATGATGAGTTTCTTGAGAAGAACATTTGTGACTGCAAAGGCAAGCTGAATTGCCAGCATAAGCATAAAAGGGTACCAAGCCACACAACTCTTCATCTGTGTGTGTGTGTGTGTCTTGGGGTCTTAGCAAAAGCTATACTCTTCTGCTTAAGAAACAGTGAGAGGCTAAACCAGGCTTTGGAAGCTCTATTATAGATTTTTGCTCCAGTGGGGGAAAAAGAGTGACTAGTGAGGAGCACTGTTACCCTTATCTGTGGCTGATGTGGTATTAAATTCTTCCAATCACAGCCATCAGTTTAAACATCAAAGACTCAGCCTTTTTTGCATTCTTTTTTCCCTGGGAAATGCAAGTCCCACCTAATTTTCTCCCAAATGACAGATGGGAAATTGTGCTATAATCATAAATTTTTCAGGTTTAATGTCTGGGATTGACCCTCGAACCGCGGTCCGGGTGGTGTCGAATTCCCATTGGCTCTTGCAGATTGGCTGCTTGCAGACCATTTAACATGTCAGGCAATAACTTCAACATACCCATCATTCTAAAGGGGAAATTAATGATGGTCTTAAAGGAGGCATCTTGTGAGTGGGAGACAAAACGCAAACCAACTGCATCCCACCCTCATGTCTAATACACAGCATCTAACACTTGATTTAACACTACTTTTTTCTATTTTAAGTACTGTGTAGCATCTAATGCTGCTTGAGCAATGAATAGTGAAAGCATCTTCATGGGAGGACACAAGAACACAGAACAATGCATCATTTCTCTCCTATGAGCCTATAGGGGTATACAGAAATTCAAGTGACAGTAGCCATCCATCTGCTACTGTCCTCATCATCTCTCTTTACTTTTTTTTATACATCCCAGGAACTCAAAGTGGCAGAATACTCAACAACAGTAATCATGATCTTTAGGAAAAGGATCACTAATACTCTATATCAAAGAATTGAAATTTTCTCACATGGGCAAAATGAGAATTTGGAATGAGGCTGAGAGGGTATGAGTTTAAGTACAATGGATTGAAACCCGTTGTTCGGTTTGTATTGGAAAAATAAAATTAAGCTTGGGTTCATGTCAAAAGGTGTAGGCATGGTTGCTTTAGGATGAACCTCCAGTCTTTGTCTTCTGGAATCTCTGGTTTGTTGCAGAAGAAACAAAGAAGGAACAACACAGGAATGAGCTCAATTAGGGATGGGGTTCAGGGAATGAGTTTGGGAGTAGTGGATTTGGCATTCCCAAACTCCTACCTGCTAGACTAATACCCATTCATTCATAAATGAACCAGACAGACCCTTAGCTATTCTCAAAAAAAAAAAAAATCAATTGCCAATGAAAAAGACATTAATGCCTTTGTTGTTGAAGTATCATCATGAAGGACTCGTTTTGTTCTGCAATTGATGGCCTGCAATCATTCTTTTTAATTATATCCCACCCACACTCTCAAATATGCTTTCCTTGTGTTCTTAACTTCAATTGAACAGCAGAAAAACTAATACCCAAAACTATTCCTTTTCTTTCCAAATAAACTTTAATAGCCAAATAGCTCAAGTGCCCCCTCTGGTTTGGAAAATTGGCACCAATACCCCTTTTGTTTTCAAAACTTGTTTCTAAAGTCCCTGTGGTTTCAAAACATTCCACCCAAACCCCCCCTCTGATAATTTTCCAGTCATTTTCCGGTGAAGAGGGGGCATTGGCGCATAATTTCTAAACCATAGGGGGCACTCGTGCTCATTTCTTATTTTTCATTTATTATTTGTGTTTTTCACTTTTTTAAATATTTTCTCTCTTTTTCCTTTATCTAGAATTTTTTAAATTTCTTTTCAATTTTTTATAATGTTTTACAAATTTTAAACTCTTTATGTTTGAAATAAAAATAAAAAAATAACATACATTACATCTATCTCAAATTAAACATTTTCACTTTTTGTTACTAAGAATAATTGTTTGGAAAGTTCAAAAAGAAAACCCAGAATAAAAAAAATAAAAATATGGAAAAAGGAAATGAAAAAAATTAAAATACGCAAAAAATAGTCTTCTACAAAAACAATTTTCAGACACGCGTAAAAAAGTCCTTAGAATTGAGATGTCCAAAAAGGATATTCATTTTTATTTTGTATTATTTTGTTTCTTATTTTATTCCTTATTTGTTTGAAGTTCTCAAAATAACTTTAAATTTTAAGAACATTATAAAAATAATTTTTAAAAAACCTTGATTAATAAATGAAACAAACAAAGGAAAAATGGAAAAAACAAATAATAAGCAAGAAATAAAAATCGGCACTGGTACCCCTATGGTTTAGAAAGTATGCACCATTGCACCAATGCCTCCCTTCTCCGTCGGGAAAATGGCCGGAAAATGATCAGAGAGGACACGAGTGCAATGTTTTGAAACCACAAGGACTTTAGAAATAAGTTTTGAAAACAAGGGAGGTATCGGTGCTTATTTTGCAAACCACAGAAGGTAGTGACGCTATTTGGCCGAACTTTAATGGCCAAAACTGATCTCTTTCTGGCCATTTGCATTTATCAGTCTGAACTTTTGTCACCGTCTTCCCTCGGTTCCATTATTACAAGCAACTCCATAGTTCATATACATTTTGTTTAGTGGGGAATTAGATCAGAAGTTCACAACAGTACTGAGTATATATGGGAATGTCAACTCAAACATGGTACAGTTTAATTTATAAAGAAATATACTGTTAAGAACATAAGGAACTTTCAGAAAGAAGAATCTGTTTTTGGAAACAAGATAATCTCCACATGCTAATAAGCACAAATTCCTAGTCATCATCATACTGTGTATATGAGTTAATATGACCGTACGGCTTCACCAAAATAACCTCAGCATCTTTCAATACAATGAAAGTTAAAAGAGTGGCCAAAAAACTAAACGTTGTAAAATACTTTAGTCGTTCCTTTCCTGGTCCGAATTTGAGAAACCTGAAACACATGCAAGGACAAAACTCAGTTTGTAATAGTGATGCCATTCAATGTCACTTGGCTAGAAGTACATGTCATCAAGAGAAAGGTGCAGTTCATGTCAGACTACAAAGTATAATCCCAACTCCATTGAGGTCTAAGGGGTCAAGAAGATGTATGCAACCTTACCCCTGTAAAAACAGAGAGACTGTTTTCGTTGAACCCTAAACGCATTGGTGCATTTACTGCCCAAAACTCAATGAAAGTAAGAAACAATGGCAGTTTAATGCGCAGTACATGTCATAATGAAAAGGTATATTCAATCCATTGGGGGGGGGGGGTACTTGCAGTACTCCGGAGGCCCAAGGATCCAACAACTTATGAGCACTATAAAGTGGATACCATACCTTGAAGCTGTTGATCTCAGAAACATCAGAAACATGTGTGCCCCCACAGGGGCATCCGGGGTATTCCCCGAACTTCAAAATCCGAGGAGTGCTTTCCTGCACCATACAGAGTAGGAAACAGTAGGTTTATATCTAAGGACTGGAAGTTCGGCATGTTTGGAGAACCTCAAAGATACAAAAAGAACTAACTTTGGGAATATAGTCCGGGATATTTCCACCACACAGTTTGCATGCCTCTTCATATGAGCAAATCGAAGCCAAAACCTGAAAAGATTTGAAGTGAGAAACAAAGTGCAAAAGTAAGTAGCACCTATAATATTAGCAGGGAGAAGCATACTTTTCCTCCGGCGGAAATGAGGTTACCAGCTTCTGCTTCCAGCTCCTTTTTCTTAATTTCAAGTTCATTTTGTGGAACTGTTCCTCTGTACTCTACATATGGCCTAAACAATCAGTGGGTTAAATGTTGAAGATAAGTCACAAAGAGAAACAATTCACATCCGTTTTATTTCAGGATGTTCCGTGAAAATATAAAAAGGGTGCAATGGTTGGTCCTTGACGATTGAGAAATTTTGTAAATGCATAATAAATGTACCTAATGCTTTATTACTCCATATGTAACAAAACACAAAAAAAAGAAACATGGATTCATTTAAATGGTCTTAGAGGTTATACCCATCAGGGAAATGGTAGGCTTTTAGTGGCTTTAAGAGGTTACCCCATCCGACGTTAGCGATACAGATATCCAGAAGATGTCCAGCTGAGTGCAACCTACACAAAGAGAAATGATAAACATTACCCAGATTGAAGAGGAGCCTTGGCGCATGGTGCAGTCGTGCGACCATGAGATCACCGGTTTCAGTGCTGGAGTAGTCTCTTGGAAAAATACAAGATTTGCGTAAAACACGCCCTTATGGTGGGACCTATCCCCAATCCACCAGCCCTCTTACTTCATCTGTCTCAAAATAAAATTTGTACTTTCTTGTTTTCCAATTAAGGAATATATGGCTCCCATTATTTCTCTCTTCTAAATAAACTTCAACCACACTCTTTTTCACTTTTCAAGACTGTACTTAAATTCCGTGTACACAAACCATAAACTTCTTTTTGAGACGGAGAGGGTATAACACTACATAGAGAAACACTCAAACTGGGCCTAATTCAAATCATCATGTCATTGAAGTGCTCTTGAAAACACACATACCACAGTAAGCTACAATATTATTTTGCTGAAAGTTCTCTCTCAAACAGCCTCTTTACCCCATGGGACAGAAAGTCTGCATACATCTAGCACCCCGTCCAAACGCTTGAGTGGAATATACTACTCACAAGTTACAACATTCCATCCAAAAACGATATGACATAAAATTTACTTGATAAAGCTTTATACCTAGTGTTGAGCATCCGCCTTGGCTCATCCACAGTTAGTGAAACTTCAACACCTTTTTCAAGCATACAATTCAACTCCCTATCTCCAGAATTGTCAAAAAACCCATAGTGAAAAACCTGTCCCCATCATAAAATTTATGAGATTAGAGTAAAACACTCAGCCCTGTGAATCTAAACTTGACGCAAAGCATTTTTGTAAAAATATAAAAATAAATGAAATTTCTCAGAGGCAAGACCTAAAAACATACAATCCGATCCCTGGATCTAACATCCTGGACCAAAAATTTGAGGTTCAAAGTGCAGATGAAACCAGTGTCTGCTGGTTGGCCTCCACCTTGCGGGTGAAAATTTGTGGAGTCAAGCATTACACTTTTCAAATTAATTTGCACCCTTAAAATTTTATCCAAAACACTAACGCTAATCTGTAACGCTATTCCCAAACAGGCCACGCATCTCTACCATCTTCACCCTTTATCGTAAAAACGCTAAAAGTTACCCTTTTTATAAGAGTAAATTCAAAAGTCTTCGATCATAGGTCGTTTTACATATTTAGTTCTCATATCAAACAATGGGTCTTTGTAATGGTATTCGGTTGATTATAAGTCGGCTAGGATCCCATGTCATCCAAGAAAAATTGGGATAGGAACATGTTGGGCATGAGGTTGTGATTCAAAGACTCGCACACACAACTTCGAATACGAGGATTTCTTTTAAGTTTCAGAGAAAACATACGCTATGACAATAAAGGGGTGTTTGTTTTTTGGCCAGAAGAGCTTCTGACCTCTTTTGTCTGCGCCGCGCAGACGCGCGCAGATGTTGAGCTTTGCAGATTGTTTGTTTTTTGGAAGACATTTCACTCAAAAAGGTCTTCCTGACATCTTCTTGGAGAAGACATTAACCTATATGTCTTCTAACATCTTCTCCATTTTTTTCTTCTACTTCTCTTCACCACCACCACCGTCCACCACCATCACCACTGTCCACCATCACCGCCACCGCCGCCACCGTCCACCGCCACAATCCACCACCACCACCGTCCACCACCGCTGCCGTCAACGTCCACCACCACCCTTCACCACCACCCTCCACCACCACCACAATCGTTCATACACCACCACCGTACACTACCACCATTAATTTATATAGCAGTCTACAGACATTAAAAAACAAACAGTCTTCTTCTTGCAGACCGCAGACCTTCGGTCCACTACTTCTCCTGCAGATGTCTACAGTAGTGGTCCGCAGACTGCAGACCTTTTCCTGCAGAAAAAACAAACACCCCCTAAATAAAAGTCAATACCAGTCTCTGAAGCACGTCGATCTTCTACTGAAAAAATCGGTCTTTAGTCATGGATAGTTATACGTTGCATTTTCTCGAGTGACAAATCGTCAAGGCCTTAAAATTTTGATTTGCAACGTTAATAATAATGTAGTAAAGCATACCACTAATGTTGTATTTAAGGAAGTTTTCCAAAATATTTGAAGTATGTTAAAATGGTCAATTTTTTGTTTTTATCAACACGTGTCATTTGTAATGTATTAATCTTAATGCATCGCACGGGTACGAATTTTGCTTTTAAAATCATTTAGTCCGTTTCTCCTTATCATTAATCTATTATGTAGAAATATTATTTTTCTCCTTAGAATTTCCTAAGGTATATAATTAGATTTTTTATATTTATGAATTAAGCTTTTAATTAAATTTTAATCCATACTTTATTTAACAAGACATGGAGTCAATATTTCGTTTTCCCGCCCAAAGACTATGGCCATTACATATGGTAATGTGAAGTTAAAATAGTAAGTGTCCGAAATTATAGTAATATAAAATTTACGTTTTATAAGTATAATTATTATATTGTATTTATAATAATTAACTATCATAATTATTTAAAATTACCATTTTTAAAATAAGGAAATAAAAATACGGAAATTACCATTTTAAAAATTTTCTCATTTAATGATAAAAATTTAAAAGTATTATATTTAATAAGACTGATTATTATTAAAAATGGTAATAATACAGACCGACGTAATTACGAATTAAATAAAAAAAAGGTAATTTCTGGATTTTTATTTCCTTACTTTAAAATGGTAATTTCAGTCTTAATTTTTCTCCTTTAATGATAGAAATTTAAAAGTATTATATTTAATAAGACTTATTATTATTAAAAATGATAATAATGTAAACCGAGTAATTATGAATTAAATAAAAAGGTAATTCATTAAGACTGATTATTATTAATAGGCAAAAATTATTTATAAAAAATATTTATAAACTTTAATACATGTCAATCAATTCTATTAAAAACGCGTGTATGATTATTCTTACCATAATTATATAATTATATGATTACCGTGTGACTAGGTTATATAAAAAACATGTGTATGATTATAAGAAAATTCCCTAAATAGGAGTAAAACATTTGTCATATCCACAAAATAGAAGCTTAAACTTAAACTTCTCTAAATAGAAGTAATTGATGAAGTGATAAAGAATTTGAAGTCACGTGTATGAATAAATAATATTACCCCGTCCCATTGTCTTTGTCCAGTTTTGAATTCTGAAACTGTTCATCTAAGCACTTTGACTCATCAAATTCTCTCAATGTGTAAGCTTAAAAATAGTCATGTGTGATCTTGTTTGATTCGTCTTAACATATAGATTATTAATATATAATGTTTATAATTTTTTAATATACAAATTACAAGATAATAATAATAATAATAATAATAATAATAAATTACTCCATAATAATAATAATAATAATAATAATAATTGCATCTTTATTAGGCATTGATTTTGGTTTAGTTTTTTTCTTTTCATTTTTGTATTTGATTGTTTTTCTTTTAATTTTTTTGTTTGATTGCTTTTGTATTAGCTGTGTTTAGATTTAGCTCCTAATTTCAGCAAAATTTGGTGATAGTGACAAAAACTTGATATTGTATGTTGGCAATATTGACATTTCACTTTGTTTTTGATATTTTATGTTGACATGTTTTCCATTATGCAATAACATGTTTAACATCATGCAATGACATGTTTGTCAGTATGCATTATCGTCTTTGACATTGTGGCTTTGGTTGGCATCCGCAACAAATGGGGATGAGAGCAGCAGATTGTGGTGGCGATGACGCGATAGTGCCGACTGTAGTGGCGGTGTTAGTGGCAGGACTGGTAGTAATGTAGATGGTGGCCGCATTTAATAGCGATGGTAGCAGGAGATTGTGGCGGTGGAGTGACGGCGACGACAACAGCGGCGATGGCGGCAGGGGTGGCGACAGTGACATGTGGGGTAGGGGCTGTAGCTAATTTATGTTTTTTTAAGTTATATAATGTATTCAATTTCGTATTTGTAATATGAATATAACTTCTATTTTGTTACGTGGTCAATGTTTTACTTTTATTTCGCTCCTTAACTCTAAGCCATTATATTAATTAAGTTAATTACTCCTATTTGGGGGAGTTTATGTTTCAACTCTTATTTTGAGGATATGTCATATGTTTTACTACTATTTTAGCCCTTCTCCCTATGATTATAGCATAATATAATTATGGTAAGAATAATTATACACACAGTTTCGAAAAAAAATCAACACGGTAAAACCCTTAAAATATTAATATTTATATTTATATTAATGTTTACTAGCAAGAAAGGTAATAACAAAAAATGTAATAATTATTACTCCGTGCAATTATTACCTATATAAATGGTAAGTGTCCGAAATTATAGTGTCTATTATATTTTTAACCTGTGCATGAAATATGTCCATTACATATGGCAATTGTGAAGTTAAAATGGTAAGTGTACGAAATTATAGTTAATATAATTTTTTTTATAAAAATTAACTATCATTTTTAACGTTTCCGAAATTATACTAGAAAGAAAGGTAATTTATAAGATTGGAAAGTGTAAGTTTTTATAAAAATTGGAATCCTACGTGTCAAATTAATTATAGTAACTAAATGTTAATTACTGTGTAGAATTAATTATAGTAATACGTGTGATTACCGTGTCAAATTAACTATAGTAATACGTGTGATTACCGTGTCAAATTAATTAGAATAATTAAATGTTAATTACTATGTCAAATTAATTATAGTAATTTTAATTATAGTAATTTTAATTATAGTAATTTTAATTATAGTAATTTTAATTAAAATTGTATATTACGCTATTAATGAAATTTAATATTACGCGTGACTACATAATTGTATATTAATTACCGTGTCAAATTAATTATAGTAATTTTAATTATAGTAATTTTATAATAGTAATTTTATAATGGCTATATTTTAGTTATAGTGGCTATATTTTATAATGGACATATTTTACAATATTTTAATTATAGTAATTTTAATAAAAAAAAGTAATAATTAACCAAGGTATTAATTATATAACCGTGTGACTATATAATTGTATACTCTGTATTAATTACCTTGTCCTTTTAATTATAGTGATTTTAATTATAGTAATTTTAAATATAATAATTTAAATATAGTAATAGTAATTGTTAAGTATTTAAAGATGGTAAGAATTTTAAAGTGTCCGAAATTATAGTAATATAAAATTGACTTTAACTACTGTAGGAATTAAATATCCTTTAAATATATATGTTTACGTTTAATAGCGAGAAAGGTAATAACCAAGAAAGGTAATACGGAGTAATTAACTGTCATTTTTGAAGTGTCTGAAATTATACTAGCAACAAAGGTAATAATAAGAAAAGAAATAATTAATCACGGTATTAATTATTTAGCCGTGTGACTACATAATTGTATATAAATTACCGTGTCAAATTAATTATAGTAATGTTATAATAGTAATTTTATAATGGTTGTATTTTAATTATAGTGACTATATTTTATAATGGATATAGTTTACTATATTTTAATTATAGTAATTTTAATCAAAAAAGGTAATAATTAACCAAGGTATTAATTATATAACCGTGTGACTAGATAATTGTATACTCCTTATTAGTTACCGTGTCATTTTAATTATAGTACTTTTAATTATAGTAATTTTAAATATAATAAATTAAATAATTTAAATATAGTAATAGTAATTTAAATTTGTTATAGCACTTTGAAAAATGAATAATTTTTTTAACCCCGCATGCCAAAATCATATTATAAATACATCCATTTACAAAGCTTTCATAGTCATTACATTCATGATGAAGCTACGAGCAGTTAATGATGAAGCTACGAGCAGTTAGGGTTTATCACAGGTTTCTGTAACAATAATCCAACATGTTTTAGTCATGGATAACTCTATGTTGCAGTTTCAAGAGTAACTAATTATAGTGGGTTGAAGATTATGATATGCAATGAATACAATATTCCCACAAATTGTACAAATAATATAGTCTATAAAGAAGTCTTTCGAAATTTGTAAAACAGTGATGTTTTATACCTTAAAGTAATATTATCGTTGTATTTTATTGCATCTCATTTTTTATGATTAAAAA